AGGTGGGTGTTGTTTTTCTGTAAAATTTCTGTGTTGTTCTTCAACTGTTCTTCGTAGTGTTTTCGTAACTGCAAGACCCTTAAAAATTGTTTAAACAGTATTACTTATATTTTATAACCTCAGCCTCTTAAACGGCAATGTATAACAATTTAGTTTTCATACAAATAGCGAGGGTTTTTTGCTTACATTGAATATTTCTTACAGTGTGCGTGTATATGCTCAACAAATTGTTACCTTTCCTCTTGTTCACTTTTTAGTTGCTTTTCTCGAGTCTCCCACTTTTCTTTGTACCATTTCTCAATTTTCTTACTGGATTGGTAATCCCTGAGAAAAAAATGGTTATATTGTGGTAATTGGGTAACACAGTCAATATTTATTTTATTGCTTTTTAGGGGATGGGGTGGGACAGAGGAAAGGCATTAAATGACCGACCGTTGCTTAATAAAATAAAATAGCGGCCTGCACTGTTGACAATTCAATGAGTCTCAAAATATGTGAACTGATCTTTCGCAAGCTGTTGAAAATAGTTCGGCATACAACAAGACTTGTCAACACGCAAGCATTTCTTGATTACCCCTGAAATATAAAGAGGTGCTCCTGCACATATTAAATCATTCGGTTTTAACCGTAAAAAAAATTCCTATGCCCATATCAATCACTCGATCGGCTCAAAAACGCTCGTAAACCTAGAAGAGGGGTTTCTCCGTCTACAGTATACGTTTCGTCTCCAAATGTGAAATCAAAACGGAAATATAAAGATAAACATTTGTTTCACGGCTTTGCTTCTTGGTAAATTTGTCCTGATTACCCATAATGCCCCTGAGAGCTTAGACTCCCATGGTTCCCTCAGTCTTAGCCTCTCAAGTCACAAAAATAACATCTCCGTTACTCTAAAAAGTAGACTAATGCCTAACTCAATCGACTCAAAAACGCCAGTAAATGTAAAAAAGGGGTTTGTCTATTTACAGTAAAAGTAAGGGAAACGAGGGTATACAGGAGCATTCAATGGTATACAGGGGTATACAAGGGTATACAGGGGTATACAAGGGTATACAGGGGTATACAAGGGTATACAGGGGTATACACGGGTATACAAGGGTATACAGAGGTATACAAGGGTATGCAAGGGTATACAAGGGTATACAGGGGTACACATGGGTTTACAGGGGTATACATGGGTATACAGGGGTATACAAGGGTATACAAGGGTATACAAGGGTATGCAGGGGTATACAAGGGTATACAGGGGTATACAAGGGTATAGAAGGGTATACAGGAGTATACAAGGGTATACAGGTGTAGACAGGGGTGCACAAGGGTTTACAGGGGTATACAGGGGTAAACAAGGGTATACAGGGGTATGCAAGGGTTTATAGGGGGTATACAAGGGTATACAGGGGGGTATACAAGGGTACACAAGGGTATACAAGGGTATACAAGGGTCTACAAGGGTATACAAGGGTATACAAGGGTATACAGGGGTACACAAGTGTTTCAGACAGGGTTGTCCAGGGGTATATAAGGGTATACAAGGGTTTACAGGGGGGCATACAGAAGTATACAGGGGGGTATACAAGGGTGCACAGGGGTATACAATGGCTACAACCATTATTCTCGGGACAGTATACGTAGTCACATACCGAAAACCGCATATTTTGCCGCTTTGTTTCTTTGCAAGCTTGCCTGATTACCCATAATGCCCCTCAGAGCGTGAACTCCTCTTAAGGCCTTTGATTGTACCGGGTTTCAACTTCCTCATATTTCTAAGCGTTCTTCTCATATGCTGCTGGGGCACCTGGAATACCTAGCCGCAGAAAGCTTGTACGACGTGTCTCGGCTAAGTCTCTGCACGAACATCTGCGATGTACTTCTAATTTTCCGCAAGCATGTTCATGTTGTCATAATTATGCGTGAGGCGAGCGAGTCCGTCAGATGCGAGCACCGACGTTTTGTCACGGGTTCGTCCTTCGCGGGCGCGACTCAACCGCACGCTAGTAAGAGATGCCAGCTGCTAATTCCTCCCTTATGTTACATGTACATGTTTCCATTTGCCCGATAGGTATCCCGGCCGATCGTCACAGGCATACCGGCATATGAGATCCAAAATCTAACTTGAGGTCAAATCCTAATGAGTCCGATAAAATTATTTCCCATTGATCCCAGACTTAGGCGCCGTTTAACTCATTTTGCTTCTGAATGCCAAATTTATTTGCATTCAGAAGTATTGTTATTAGATGTTTGTCTTCGCAGGAAATGACAGCAACCTACTTGATTTTGGAATTATCTATACTAGCCGTAACAATATAATCACCTACAGTTAGAAACAACAAATAGATTCCGTATCCTTGTGACAGTTTATACCTTGAGGGTGACACTTTCGCTTCTCTCTTTATTTCCCTCTGCAGTCGCTCCAATTCGTCCGGAAGCTCTCTCAGTAATTGGATAAATTTTTTGTCGAAAACGACTGAGTCGCCTTGATTTGTTTCATCAAGCGATTCTCTGCGACCTCCAGACCTGGAACTTATCGACGTTCTGCTCAATCCTGCCATGTTGTTTCACAATGAGCACACAGCAACAAGGAACCAGAAAAGACACGTCCGCTTTCTTCTTTCGCTTTCGTGGAAAACCGGAAGTTGTCACGCTCTGGGATAAGTCACCCTAAGACCGTTTCATCACAGATTGAAGCGTTTAAAACTTACTTACAAACTAAAAAAGGTTCCCACTCTTGGATAGAAGTATTACATTTGTAAGTTCCTCTTTAAAGGAATCAAAACTAAACTTTTCTGGTAACAATGGATGTTGATACAATCTAGTCTAGGGCAAGCGTCACCCTGAAGCGTATTTGTTTTAAGCCATTTTATATCTTTGACCCGTCATTGGTTAGTTGGAGTTCCGGGAAATTTCCCTTCTCTTCGTTTGCATGAGAGGCGCTCATTGCTTTGTTCTTCAAGCTGTTCGTCTTCTAACGAAGGAAACCATCCAAACCAGAATGGCGTTGTCGGTAGAAGGTAACTTTCAGCATTTTAACCGTGACCGTGGTCGATCGTGGGTTTCAGAACTCTCAGTTGACAATGAACAGTTAGAAATGTTCAATACACGGGGCATATGTTCTTCTTGTGTTACTTCGATTTGACGAGAATAACTGTTGTTTATGGGAAGAAAATTGCCAAATTTTATGGATCGTTCCCAATTGTTGTA